TTCTCTTTGATATTTGCTGGGATTTCTGGAGGATTCTAACATTGGTATCAGAGCAAACGATCTTGTTACATGTAGTCCTGTACAGGAACGATGGAAGATTGGGGGCTGTTTTGGGAAAAAATGCGCGAAGATACCAGGCGTTTGTGCGAAAGGATACGCAAAATAAGCCCGCAAAGAAACAATCGGCACTCGCAGAAAGAGTCGCGAACTAATTCGCACTCGTAGGAGTTGCAGAAAGAGTCGCGAACTGTTTCGCACTCGCGAAAGAAGCCGCGCGAAGAAGTGGGGAAGCTCGCGGAAAATGATAAGCGAGGAAAAATGGAGAAAGAGAAACGCTCAACCCTAGAAAAGGAAAAGCGCTCAAACATGGAGAAGGAGAAGAGCTCAAAACCAGAGAAAGAGAAGTCCTCAAACCTGGAGAAGGGGAAGCCCAAGCTGCGACAAAAATGTAGTAGGCGAGGACGGTCAAGGACTGTGCGTCGCTGCTTGAATTCGAAAATCAAATACCCTTCTCAGTCACAAGATACTTCTTCCGGTCCTCTGGTTTTGACTAGAGCAGACAAGTCCAGTTCGAAATCTTTATTTGAATTTCCAGAGTCGCAGCAGAATTTGGTTATTCAGCAGCACACCTATGGAGAAGAGGAATTCAGTGATAAACTATCAGTTAATCTTGAACCTGAAGATGGAACAGTTGTTGGATTCTCCAGAAGTAAGATGTTTTCCAAATACGATCTTGACCAGTCAGACCTTGAAACCAATAGGTTCAAGCTTCTTCAGGTATGCGATATTTCTTCTCATCTTGCACAGAAGAGGAACTGGCCAAATGTCTGCAAGACTGATATGATGTATCGCCATTCATCAAACTTTGTGTTGGAAGGATTGAACACCGTTTCTATTGTTGATTTGGTTCTCCAACCATGTCCACTGGGAACTACTGAAACTGGGTTACTTAAAATCGAGGACATAATTTTAGGGAATTCATGCTTGGAACGAAAGAGATCTAGTCCAGTGGTTCTTAAGGATCGGGTTCATCTTTTTTCTTGGGAATCATATGCCATTATTCAAATTGGGGTAGTGATTTCACATGGAGGTCCTCTAAATTGGAGGGAGGGTGTGAGCAGAGGAAGGCTTGCTATTGCTGACAAAGGGGCTGAAATAGCAGTACCTAATCAGAAATTGATTGCTGAGAAACATCTTATCACCATGTTTCAAGCAATTTTGAAACCCAGAATTGAAGAGGGACTTTCTAACCATTATAATTCAAGGGATCATCAATACTATTCCCCAGTTGTTTCCTTTGTTCTTGTGAATCTGAAGGGAAGGGATCCAAGTACCCTTGATTCCTCTACCAATTTGTGGGTTGGTTTTTTAACAGGAGCACTCAGAATTTCAGATTCTTTAAATGAGAAAACAGTGGAAAATTTTGTGGAACAACATAATGAAGCAAATGAAAAGGTGAAATTAGAACAGGGTTGGAAAATGGCCATGTCGTATAATGGTGATAGATCTGTCTACGTGCAAGAAAACCAATTTTGGAACTTTTACATGGGAGATGAGCTTTCATGTTCTTTAGTTATGAGAACTGCAGCTAGAATTATGCATCTCATTACTTGCTTGCTAAAACCTTTGAGGTTTTCCTTGTCAAATGAGGTAAGTAAAGAATTAAAAGAGGAAGAAGTTGAAAGGTACGTAAAGGAGCTTGCATCCAATACAGTATTAGTTTCAGAGACTGGAAAATATGAGGAGCTGCAGAAAAGTGAAGAAATATTTTTTACTATCAAGTGCTGGAAAGAGACTGAATTGAATGAATCTTCACTGCTGATTTCTTCGGCTACTGAAAGTTCTGAGATCTTAAAAGATCTCGTACGAAAGTCCCTAGTCCATCAACCAGTCAAGTATTGGGAAGGGAGAGGCGCAAGGATGAAGAGGAAGCAGAAGATCTTGGCTGCTTCCTATCGCCCACCTTGAGGGCAAGGTGGATGTTTAGGGGGGGAGATATGTTAGGGACCCGGTAGAATAAGAGTAAATAAGAAATGTAATAGATAGAGTAGTATAAATAGAAGGGGAGTGGGCAATAAAGAGTAGGCTGTTTTAGACTTGTCTTGGGACTTGGGAAGACTGAGACTAATAATCTCTTTCTTTGGGAGCTTCGGCTTTTGGGGACTTCGGCCAGTATATTGTTTTACCTTTAATAAAGATTCTGGAGTTCTTGATACTATTTCCTTACTTTCTCTTTGATATTTGCTGGGATTTCTGGAGGATTCTAACAAACGAAAACCGATAAAAATTGAATCGAAATCGATATGCCCACCCCTAGTTGACAACTTGGCATCCACCTGTTTTTCTTAAGAATTACTAGTTTTTTCCGTCAAGGTTAAGTTTAAGATCATAACTTCGGAATTTGGAATATTCTAGTCCATTTAGTTTTGTTAACTCTTCTGACCTGATTCAATTTGTTACCACGTATTTGGGAGGTTATCTCTTTGGAGAAAGGATACATGTACATTTTTCCCCTACATTTATTAGCCACATTCATAAATGCAACAGGTTGATTGGGTGGTAAAACCAATAAGTTATCCTACTTTTCACCATCTAATCAATTATTTGCACAAAAAAATGTACAGCTAGAATTTTCACAAGAATGTTCACAAAAAATGTACAGCTAGAATTATTCTTAACATTGTCTTGGCTATTAGTTAAATGGTGCTTTCCATGAAAGCGAAATCCTTCTCACTTGTGACTCTTGTTGAAAAGTGTCCTCATACTAGCTAAGTATGAATGGATGAAGCTCTTGATAATAAGTGTTGGCTTGTTGGGGCCAAAGACCTATTCATAACACTGTATCAAAATCTGTCTCACCTGTTGCCATGAAGCAGCAACCCCACTAACATATTCATTTGCTTTTTTTAATGTTTGCAGACATATGTTTTGAAACCTTATTTTCTCAAACGGGAAAAGCAAAGGGCATTGGAGAGTGGTGAAAAAGCTCTCGCTCAAGTAGTCACATTCCACACTTGTCATTCACATTCTACCCCTATACACAAAATTCTGAAGTGTCCTATTTACCCCTTGTAAAAAAACTATGCAGGTTCGAGAGGCAAGAGCAGCAGCTGTGAAAGCCCAGCAACTATTGGACAATGTCACAAATAGAAAAAGAAGGCGCCAGGAAGAAACTGGAGGACTTGTTGTGACAAAGGCAATATACGGGAGCCGTGAAGCTCTGAAGGACCGAACTGAAAACAGTGCAGAAAGTGATGAAGTTGGATTGAAAATCTTTGATGTTACCCTGCCTTTGAATTTCTTGGTGAACGATTCAGGACAACTAAAGGTAATTTCCTTATACTAACCTCTCTATCTTGTATTATTACTGCCATACAGGATCCTAAAGGTCTTTCCTTGGTATAGTTCTGCATCTATTCGACTATTCACTGGCAAAATCAGGAAAACTTGGTGGCTTGTCATCTCTCTGTTAGTACTGCAGCTTTCATATGTTAACCTTGCTGCTGTTTTGTGATATCAAAATTTGGTGAAATGGATGTCATAATTTGTCATTTCTACACGGGATGAATGAATTTAGTTGCAGCTTGCTTGGCAGCAACTTTTATTTTTGGCTTACTGGCTTTATAAGCCATACTTCTTGCGAAACACTAATTCATCTATCTTTATTTATCTTTCGGCGCTGAACTAGTTAATAAAGAAAAAAGTTGGGAGGGTGTAAGGTATTCTTTTTGTCGAAGTTACCAAGGGTTCGGTCGCAAAATCACACTGTATGAGAATGTTCTCCTTAATTTGGATAGACACTTGCGACTAATAATATCGCACCAGAGCTGCACTGTAAACACAAAATATTGTTTCTATGTATGTAGCTGCATGAGGGTGTGAAGAAATCTGGAATAATGGGCTTCTGTGATACATGTCCTGGAGAAGCTAAGCAATTGTATGTGGAGTATACGTTTGGATGCCATAAGTTTGAGGTAACATATGCCGGTCTTCATGTTAATTTTCTCAACTACAGAATATGTTGTGAATTTGTTAATAAGTAGTTGCAATGGCTAAAATTTACAGGTGACTGTTGATGATTATGAACAGTTGATTTTGCCACTGGAAGTACACAGAATTTGACTTCCATCTGGCATTTTGGAAAAGAATAAGGATCTCGGCTGTAAAGTACTGCCTTTCAATTTCTCTAACCCATTTGTTACTAATCTGTAGAATTTACTCTTTTTGAATATAAAAGAACAATACATTCACTCACTCTTTGGGTTGTGAGTGATACTCCGTACTTTTTCTTTTTGCAAATAGCCTCTTTCAATGCAAAAGAACTTGCATCACGAACCACTGCACCAGCACCCCCTCCCGTTCTTTCCTCACCCTTCTCGCATGAACTCCAACCACTCGCAGATGATTGCGGCTCCTCCTCCTTGTCCTCGTAGATAATTCTTCATAGGAATTATTAAGTATTCTCAATTTAAGTGCGTTGGCGACTATAATTTGATTATACATGTAAAACGACATTTCTAAATGGTGATGTTTGAGGAAATTACATGAAACAGTTGGAAGATTCCATTGTGTCCGCTATCGAGAATATAGTATGCAAACTTGTTAAATCATTGTGTGGGTTGAAGCATGCACCCAAACAACGTAAAACATTTGATGAAATTATTTTGTGTAATGATTTTAGCTCAAATCATTGTGGCAAGTAGTGATGCATTTGGTTCGGGCCGCCCGTGACCCGGCTCAGCCCGCTACTGTGTGGGCCCGGGACCGGCCCGGTATGGCGGTGACCGGGTGTAGACCCGAACCGGGGGGGGGGGGGGGGGGGGGGGGGGAGGGCAGCGGGGGGCGGGCTCGGTTTCAGCAAAACGTGACCTGGTCGGGCCCGGGTTCGGGTCACAACGGCTAGTTATAATTTTTTTGTTTGTTTTGGGGCCAATAGAGTTGTTGGGTGGGCTGGCAGGGGGGTCCGGGCAGTTTGGGGGATGGGGTGGGGGTGGGGTAAAAAAAACTCTAAATACTCCTAAGCTTAAACATTTTTCTCTCTTCTCCAACTCTTCCTAAATCCTACTCTCTACTCTCTAATTATCTTCATCTTCTCAAATTCTCTTATTCTCCAATATATTATATATCTACTTATATTATTTATCTACTTATTAATACATATATTATATTACTTATATTTCTTATCTACTTATATAGTTATATATTAATTATCTATTTATAAATACATATATTATATTACTTATATTTGTTATCTACTTAATCTCTACTTATTATCTACTTATTATCTACTTATATCTACTAAATACATACATATTACAATTTATATCTACTTAGTTCGAATTGTTAGTACATTTTAGTACGAATTAGTACATTTTATATAATACTTTGATTGTTAGTACATAAAATAATTCTTAGTACGAATTAAAGTTAGAATTGTTAGAATTTTATTTCATTAGTTCGAATTGTTTTTATAAATTAATATTTGTTACATTTTTAAGATGGAAGGTGGTAGATATTCGGTTGATATGGGTAATCTCGACCGCAACCGAACGAACGAGCTTGCGAGGAAGAGATCCCGCAAAGGTAAATGACATATCAGCTCTTCATCTCAAAGCCGAGATGATTTTGATACAGGTTACGCAAGGAAGGATGGGGATGCGATGATCGACGAACAACTAAAACAAGAATTGCATCGACATAATAGTTGGTTTTTTTAAGACCAGGCGACCAGCCGAGGACCATTGATGAAGAAGAGCTCGAGGACGACAATGTGGAGGAAGTAATTCCGGAGAGCCACGACGCCGATGAGGAGGAGGGTGGTGGCAACCACGACGTCGACGAGTCTGCCTCATCCCAAACCGGTACGAAAAAAGTAAATCTGAACTAATGCTTAATAATTTTGATAAGTGGAAGGACCCGAACACCGGGAATTGGAACGCAACTTGCAAGTGGTGCAAGAAAAATTATAGCTTGGGCATTTCCGGCGAATACGGATCCGCCGCAAGGCATCTTAAGGCCAAATACACGGTGGAGTATGCAAAACATCAAAATTAGGCGGCGGAAAGGGGAAGCAAACTCAAATATCGAGGTTTGCTAATAACCAACAACCTTTTGGTAATTTCTCATGCAATGATGCACAAAATTTGACTGGTATGACTAACTTACTTGTTGAAAAAAATATGTCTTATTTGTTTTCTGAAAGTCTTGCTTTCAAAGATTATGCACAAACTTGTTTAAATTCTCAATATAGAGGTTATAGTCGCAAAACGGTTAAGAAAGAAATTTTAAGGCTTTATAGTGCAGAAAAGGTAATGTTACAAAATTATTTTGCAAACTTTGATGGGTGTGTTCTGACATATGGGAGGATACTTATCATAATTTACATTATTTGGGTCTGATTGCATATTACATTGATAATGATTGGAATATGCATAAACGTGTTCTTGCTTTTCATGAATTTAATGATCGTCACACCGCTGAACATATTTATATTTTGATTGAACGTATTTTAATTGAGTATAATTTGAATGATAAGGTGTTTGCTATTGGTTTTGATAATGCTACTAATAATACTGCTGTTATTCTTAGATTGCGTGAAATATGTGGTGTTACTTCTTTGATGGGTAGATTTTTTCATCAACGATGTGCATGTCATGTTCTAAATTTATGTGTGCAAGATGGTCTAAAAGCGTTAGGAGATTCTATGGAGGTAGTCAAAGGGGGATTAGACGTATTTGGGGTAGTGGTCAACTTAGAAAAAAATGGCATGATTATTTGATAGAAAGAGGTGTGAAATATGTGGCTTTTCCTAAAGATTTGTCTATTCGTTGGAATAGTACTTATAAGTTAATGACAGTTCTTCTTAGATATAAAGAACATTTTCCTGCTTTTTTAAAACAATATGATAACTATATTATAAACTCGGCTGATATCGACACTTGCGAAAAAATTTGTAATACAACAACAACATCCAAGCCTTAGTCCCAAAAGATATTGGGGTCGGCTGCGAAAAAATTTGTAATGCTTTGGTATATCTTTTTAATGCAATTGAAACTTTTAGTCATGTTTATAAACCTATCTCAAACCAATTTATTCGTGAAGCTGTTAATCTCGCCGATGCTTTTGCAGAATTTGAGAATGCCGCTTATGTGAGTTATTTTGCTGACTTTATGAAGGAAAAGTTTTTAAAATATTATGCACATATTCCGCATATTTATGGTATTGCATTTGTTCTCGATCCTCGTTTTAGACTTAGTTCTTTAGAAGAATGTTTGAACTATTATTATGCCGCTTTTTATGGTCCTCTTCCAATGTATGACGATAACGCAATTGATCCGAAAAAAGAATACAACGAGGTTAGTGATATATTTTATGCATTATTTAATTAGTTTCATGCACAATATGGCAACGCGCCCCCTCCCCTGACACAGACATCTTCATCTAAAGGAAAATCAATTTTGAAATCTACATTTGCCAATCTTATTAAAAAAATTAAAACAACTCCCGCTACTCAACAAAGCACAATTAATGAGATTTCTTTATATTTAACATATGATGTTGATTTTGAAGAAGATGATGATTTTGACGTTCTAAACTGGTGGAAGGGAAAAGAAAGAATGTTCTCGGTTTTAGCAAAGATGGCTAAGCAGTGCTATCAATGCCGGTTTCAACAGTTGCCATGGAACAAGAATTTATTTCGGTCGGCAATGTCGTAACGTAATCTACAACGAGGTTGAGCGCAGAATCTTTTGAGACGCTTATTGCTACCATGATAAGTTGAAGGCGGCCCGTAGAGCTCAAGAAATTGGCATCACCCCATCTCAAAACTTTATGGATGAATCAACCGAGGGTGGCTCTACCTATGCCGGAGATTCCGATTGATTAGTATTTCATGTTTTAATTTTTCCTTCAATTCTCTATTGTAACTTGTAAACTTGTGTAGTTTATATTTCTAAATTCTAATAAATATACGTTCATTTTTTTATATGTAGCACTTCTCAAATTAATTAATTTTACATTATGTAATTTATTCAAAAAATTCAAACTAAAATAAACAAAAACAATTTGAATTCAAAGGCTTAAGCCTCAAAGGCCAAAACGGCTATATAGCTGTTGGTGGGGGTGGGGTGGGGGGGTACAAAAATTTCTATATATACTCTTATTTTCTAACATTTTTATACACATCTTCTCTAATATCCAATCTCCAATCTCCATTCTCCATCTTCATCTACATTTATTCTAGACTTTCTAGTATTTATAGAATTATTATAACTACCATTTTTAAGATGGAAAGTCAATATGCCGTTATCGCATATAATTTTTATACACAGAAGGACCCGAGGATCGGGATGTGGTACGCAACTTGCAAATGGTGCGGGAAAAAGTGTAGCTTGGGGGTTTCACGCGGATACGGGATGGCCAAGAAGCATATTAAGTCATGTGACAAAGCCAAAGGACTGGGAAATTCCGATCGATTACAAATGTATTTCATATTGTATTTTTTTCTCAATTGACAAATGTAGTTCCTATTTCATTTCAAATAAATGCACTTGAAGTTTGATTTTAATACTTGTATAAAACTATAAAGAATAAATAAGTAGAAAAAATGGATTTACCCGGCCTGACCCGACCCGGCGGGTGGCCCGACCCGTGACCCGGGCGGGTGGCCCGACCCGAACCGGAACCGTCTTTACATCGGGCCGGTCCCGGGCCCATCATTTACAAACCGGAGGCCCGACCGGGTCTAGGTCCGGCTCGGGCCCGAACCGGCCTGAGTCCAAGCCTAGTGGCAAGTGTGTACATAGTCGATTTGATGCTTTAAGTGCGAGGTGTGTGTATGATTCTATGTTGATGGCATGAATAAAAAAAATTATCATCAAAGTTTTTCATGGACATAAGGAAGGCAGATGTAATCCTTGGACATAGTCACATAGGTAAGAATATTTTCAAAAGATTTATTTATAGTGATTGTTCACCTGACACTACTAGAAAAAAGATCTATAGTGATATTGAATTAGTCCAATTGAATCTTTTAATCACACTAAACATACATAAGTCACATGAAGTTGGAAATTGTGATGCCAAATTTAGTGTCACAGGTAAAGTGAGCGGTTTATGACAATGAAATATTGTAAAAAATGATGGTAAAATAATACTACGTATATCACAAAATATTCTAACACATCAGTGTCAATTCATTGTAGAGTCAATTTGGTACTTGAATTTGTCTCTGATGGAGTAAAGAATACATGAATTTGTTTCGGAGTTCATAAAGCACTTCAACTTGTCTTTGATGGAATAAAGAAAATTCTAATTTGCAATAGAATCATGAAAGCATTTCAATTTGTTTTCACAGCGGAATATAGTACATTTGTTAAATGTAGATGGACAACTTAGGAAAAATGTTTTAATGATGGCAAAGTTTACAAGAATAATCCATACTTTTAGGAATTCTATAGTAATAATATCTACCGATAATGTTCATAAAAATAATCCATGAGAATATATTGGAGTGAAATTGTATCTACGTAATCTAGCATAAACATGTGCTTTAGCTGTTAGCCCGTTCACCATCCAGTGTCCCGTTTCCTCACCTGAAATTCCTTCTTGTCTGAACAAGAAATGGATTGAGGCAGCAAAGAGAAGATGACGAAGCTAAGAAGAGACACACAGATGCAAGATATGAATTTAGAACTTTGGGTTAAAGTGAAATTTGGGTGCATTTATCGTCACAATATGGTTTTTGATGAGATCAAACATGAGGAAACCAAAAATTGGTGGAGAGAATTGAATGTTTTTGTTTTTGTATAAAAATTTCTATAACAATTCAAAATTAAATTTTACTCTGTAATTCCTTATTCAACATAGCTAATATATTTTGATGTAATTGTGTAACAAGTCAACGACGTGTACATATGCATGATTGGATATTAGTAACACTATTTGAGAAAGTGGCACGATAAGCTATTTTTTTAGTATTGATTAGTACTCTATGATCCTAGTATGAACTATGAAGTTGGTGCTTAATAAAGGAAAGACAATACCACAAATAGAGTATCTCAAGTCATTGTTTGTTTAATGTACTAATAATCTGAGCGATGAAGTATATCACCCGGGAACCCCCGACCCATAGACTCCTGCTACTCTAACACAGGCACAACGGGCCCAGGAAGCGCAGTGGACCAAAGCACAACGGCCCGAATGTCAAGAAGTCCACGGTGTACATATTGAGGCTTTTGGCTCCATGTCCCAAGGCTCAAGATCTCACAGGACAACCAGATTTTAGCATACGAAGCCACTGGGAGAAAATGGCAGAATGCAGGAGCCTTCGGCATCTTCTCATAGGAGTAGCCTTCGGCTACGGAGAGCCCTCGTCCACGGAGGAGCCTTCGGCCCAACATATACAGCCGAGGGCATCCTCATCGACAAAATCTCCTCTCCACATGCGCTTGGATCACCGTACCAAGTACAAACGTCACGTCCAACCACCGCATTTAATGCGGCCACATGCAAATGCCGGTGCCACCCCGATGGAAATGACCCTCGGCCATTAGATTGTTGACACGTGTACTCTCATCTCATTTATGGTTGCTATAAATAGCAGCCCTTATTCCCTTTGTAAACCACGTTTAGTTCATTTAATACATTTGACTCTCTCTGTTACTTGTTTGCTCTGACTTCTCTCTAGCTATTCTCCGCAATAACCCTCGGGTAAGCTACCCCCCGAGTACACTATCCATCATTTGGTGCTCTCGTTAAGAGGTCCGAACAATCAAGTAAGAAACCCTCCCCTTCACCAAACACAAAACACCTACCAAAATGGGAAGAACTCGTAGTCACTCCAAAACCCTTGAGGAAAACCACGTAGCCCTCGCCGAAACCAATGGGGCTGAGGCCTCCAACCGGATTCCCGAGGTTGGCACAATTGCCGAAATGAAGCAGGCTGCTGCTGACCTCCGTCAGCACATCCAGAGGGCTGCCCCCGATGCCCGTATCGGCCTGGATAATCGAAGGAAGAACCGAAGTGAGAACCAAGTTCCCCCTTCGGTTCCAACCATCGACCTCCAGGCCCCTTTCACAGCCTTCATCCAGAACGTGGCCATGAACCCTGGCGCCTTCATGATGCAGGCACCCCTCCAACCCCAGTACGGGGGGTACGCCACTTATCTTCCACCCCTCCTCTGTTCAACAATCCCATCATGTGGATTGGCAACGCCGAGGAGGTCATAGCACAGGACACCGCCTCCCAAGAGGTCCAATCGCGTGATAAGCGGTGTGTAAACAAGGAGAAGCCCCGGACCTCCGACCTCGAAAGGCTTGGGGAAACTTCGGAGCGCCGAGGGGTCCAAGACTGCCTCGGTGGGAAAGCAACCAGCAGACCACAAGAGAGTGGAGGCTCCGTCTCGGGGGCCGAGGAGAGACCTCCCCCTCGGGACAAAGGCAAGGGCCTCCTCCACAAAGATGACGCCTGGCATCAGATCAACCACGCTCAATCCATTCGCCAGAACTCCCAAGGGGCTCCCCCGAGGGACCACAAAGACGAAATCATCGACGCCCTTCGGCGACAGCTCTAGGAGGTACGTGAGGAGCCCCCGTCCAAATGGAGGAGATGAAACGAAAGCTTGCCGAAGGCACATGCGAACCCCTCATCCAGCTCCGCACGAAGATGCCCTTTACCCCGAGGGTATTGACGGCTCAGATCCCCGGTAAATACCGGGGACAACCCATCAAACCATACGAGGGGAAGACGGATCCCCAGGAGCATTACAACATGTATCAGAACAGTATGATGATGGGGGGCATCAGATGAGTATTTATGCCGCTGGTTCCTTTCCACCTTGGAGGGACCAGCGTATGAATGGTTCAACCGGTTGCCCGAGGGCAGCATTAATTCATGGCAAGAACTTTCCCATCGCTTCTTAACACAATTCACCGGGAGGCACCGATCAAAGAAACATTTCTCCCACTTTCTGAATGTGAGGCAACAGAAGGAGGAAACCCTTCGGAGTTTCCTAGAATGCTGGAGGCAGGCCTCCATCGAAGTCGATGGCGCCGACAACAGAACGGTGATGGCCCTATTCCACACCGTCCTACGCAACGGTAATTTCTCTAGAAGCCTTATTACTGACCCCCCCCCCCCCCCCCCCGCGCGCGATTATACAAAGACTCTCCAGCGGGGGGACCGATATGCTGAAGCCGAAGAGATCGAGAAAGATCGTTGTAACCCGGAGCCTTCACAAAAGCACGAAGGTAGAAATCACCCCGAGGGGCCACCCCCTCCGGCAAACCGCGAGGTAACGTACAATGACCGGCCCCGGAATGGCCAAGCCAGACCCGGGGGTGGCTACAAGAACAATCCGAGGGCGTGGGCCCATCCTACCCTCCTGGAAAACCCACGCACCCCTCTAACGCATCCCGTCAGCGTTATCTTGGACTACGCAGAGGAAAGAGGCCTCGTGGAGCGAGATTCACGCGCACCCCTAGAGGTATATGCCATCAATTCCAACGAACCTTATTGTCACTTCCATCGCCATCAGGGGCACATGACTGGTGACTGTCATCATCTGAAGGCGGCCATCGAGAGACTAATACAGACGGGTCATTTGTCCCAGTTCGTCAGGGACCCTCCTCCTCAAGGACCCCCTCATCACCAAGGGCCTCCACCGAGGGCAAACAAATGGGTTAACCCAAACACCATCCCCTTGGGAAATCCACAGGGGAAGAAGAGGGAGCTGAGATCGGGAACCTTGATGAAGAAGAAGGGTACAACCAGTGCCAGGATAAGAAGCACCACATTCACATGATCACCGGAGGCAACACCGGTGGGGACTCCACGAGCCAGAGAAAAAAGTGGGCTCAATCCCTTTACGTCGGGGAAGTCAATCATATGCCCCCTACTAAGAGGCCGAGGGCGGATCCTATCTTCTTTACAGATGCGGATCTGCCCCTGGGTGACCTTCCTCACAGGGTTGCCCTCATC